AGAGAATGTAGATAGAAAACCAGGTCAAGGGGTAGACTGAGTCTCACTCTAGATCCATCCTCTATTGCTGCCACATTTATCTTCCGAAAACACTCGGGACTTTTCACCATGCATACAAAATGAAGCCTAGACTCTTTAGCTTTGTGTTTTAGACTTCTCACAAATGTTGCTACCAACACCTTCACATTCTTCCCACTTGCCACCTTTCTATAGACCCTCTGATCCTGATGGAGCTTCCTGCTGCTAGTCCTCTTCAGAAAAGCCCCCTCAGCTCTGCCCTCCCTCTGTGAAACCTCATCTAGCATTCCAAACACAAATGATTCCTCCACCCACATCCAAACAATAACTTGGCACTCATTCATCGCCTGGTTTTGCTGGTCATCTTTTTAGGTACATACCTCTTCTCCCAATCTGGGAGAAGATCTATGCACTATATCAGGGTCAAATCTATGCACTATATCTATGCACAAAATCTATACACTATATCAGGGTCAGAAAACTTTTTCTGTAAAGAGTGAATATCTTGGGCTCTGTGGGCCTAACAGTGTCATTACTCAGCTCTTGCCACTGTAGTGCAAAAGCAAACACAATATGTGAATACAGGAACACAGCTGTGTTTCAATACTTCATTTATAAACACTCAAATGTGAATTTCACATAACTTTCACCTGTCATGAAATCATACTCTTACAATGTTCCCCCCAACCATTTAAAAAAGTAAAAATCACTTTTAGCTTGCTGGCCACACAAAAACAGGCAGCAGGCCATATTCGGCCCTCAAGCATGGTTTGCCAACCCTTATGATATATCATAATTCTTTGTGACTAAAAAAATGTTATCTTTCTTGCAATTACTCATTAAATATTTGTTTTAACAACAGGGGAAGAGATGTCCTGATTGTGTTCCTTTAGTTAATATTAACATCTTGTATTTAACATGGCAAAACATCATACCTCTATAATTGATAACTAAGCCATCCCAATGTTCAAATAGAAACCGCTGGCCTCTAATGAGAAGATAGATTAAATGCAACATGAGGCTCTAATTATTCTGTTGGTGTCTGCCATTGTAAAATGCTTGTATGAGCTAGTTATGATGGGGATACACATACAAGGAAGGAGCATAAGGATTAGGGTTGAGAGTCTTAATTTAAAAATCAAATGTGTTTTTATTTAAAGAATTCATTTTATAATTTTATTCAACTTCCAAAATTCTGCAAACAAGATTTTCCTTTTTCAACCATACATATATAGTACTTAGGAAAAAGCGAACAAATATAGACTTTGCTATATTTCATAAAACATTTTAACTGATTCTGAAAGGGCACTGCCCTAAGGCACGCTTTTTAAAAAACCTCCAGTCCACAATTAAAAAAATTTAACACAGGACACCAGTTAAGTGTCTGACTCTTGATTTTGGCTCAGGTCATGATCTTGGGGTGGTGGGACAGAGCCCCAGTCAGGGTCCCTGCTGAGTGGGGAGTCTGCTTGAGAGTCTCTCCCTCTGCCCCTCCCCCTCACTCACGTGTACTCTCTCTCTCTCTCAAATAAATAACGTGTACTCTCTCTCTCTCTCAAATAAATAAATCTTTAAAAAAATATATTTAACACACCTCACTTTTACCAAACAAATAAAAATGTCTAGAATGTCATGTTATTAGTAAAGTAACATAATGTTTTCCAGCTTTCACTTTAAGGTGAAAGATGAAAAGACATGTCATTTCAGATTAGGCTAAAAATTTTCCAAAGAAAAAATATGTATGACCGTTTGAGCAGCACTTAAGATGTATTACAGGTTAACAACAAAAAAGCAGAATCAGGACATGGAATAAAGCTCTTCTATATTCACTTCAATTTTTTTTAAGACACTAAAAAAGTTTTTTTTTTTTTTTAAGATTTCACTTGTTTATTAGAGAGAGAGGAAGCAAGCATGCATACTCAGGAGAAGGGGCAGAGGAAGAAGCAGCAGCAAACTCCCTGCTGAGCAGGGAGCCTGACTGGGGTGGGGGGTTGGAGCTTGATCCCAGGACCCTGAGATCATGACCTGAGCCAAAGGCAGAGACTTAACCAACTGAGCCACTCAGGTGCCCCTAAAAATAGTTTAAAAAAAAAAAAAAAGGTTCTGGGGCGCCTGGGTGGCTCAGTCAGTTAAGCATCCCACTCTTGATTTCTGCTCAGGTCATGATCTCAGGGTCCTAAGACCAAGCCCCATGAGGGCTCCTTGCTCAGTGGGGAGTCTACTTGAGATTCTCTCCCTCCCCTTCTGCTCCTCTTTCTACTCACTCTCAAATAAATCTTTTTTTTTTTTTAAGTCCAATGTATAATGTATGGGGATACACATATTTTGAAATGTCTTTTGTTTCTTAAAACTTTGTGAAAGCAGATGTCCAAAATAGTCATATCTTTTTCTACTACAGAAATCTCAGAATATTTCTGTTAGAGTCTTTTAAACCATAACAAAAATCTTTCAAGTCTTAAAAGTTGGAGGTACAAGTCAATGGCTAAGGTCTTCAAAGGAAAAGAAACTCAGTATCCAGGTCTCTACCAACCAAATAGGTTAGGCTAAAGCTCAGGAGGAATAATTCCCCCAAAAAATGTTTTCTCCTTACTGCTTTCAATCAGAAGAATGAGCTCCGTGCTCCCAGATTCATCACATTTATGGCTTTTGGTTTACTTATCACTGCCAGCACTTATTCCAGTAGTTAAGTATTCAGCTTAGACAATGGACATGTTATATATTTTTTAAGTGTCTCTTAAATTTGCAACTGATTCATCTGAGATGTTCAAGTACAAATGGCAAGCCATAAGTAGGTAAAGGAGGAAAATCCTAACTCCTCCCCTGCCTCTATTCCCTCTACTTATTTCTTTAAAATCACGCTTTTGGGGGTAAATTCTCTCACCTTCACCGGTCCGGTCCGCTTATGCCCTACTTTATCTCTGCTTCATGCTTTAAGTGCACAGCCACAGAAGTGATGCCGTCAAAGAGGAGTAATGATGTTAAGCTACTAAGGAAGAAGAATCTTCTTAAGATTACCAATTATGAACCAGTTGCTACACATATGTTTTCATATAATCCGCTCACCTAATCTCATATGGTATTATCATCCCAATTATCATCCCAATTGAATCCCCATATGAATCCCAATTCATTACTATCTGAAAATATGGTATTTTCAGAAAAGAAAATGGTCCCTGAAAGATTAAAGAACCTGCCTTAGGACTAGAGTAACTGACTACCCCAGTTTGCCTGAGATTGAGGGGGTTCCTGGGATACGGGACTTCCAGTTTTAAAACTGGGCAAGTCTTGAGGTGCCAGGGTGGCTCAGTCAGTTAAGTGTCTGCCTTTGGCTCCAGTCAGGACCCCAAAGTCCTGGGATCATGCCCCACATCTGGCTCCCTGCTCCTTTTCCGTCTCCCTCTGCCTGGCACTCCCCCTGCTTGTATTCCCTCTCTCTGTGTCAAGTAAATAAATAAAATATTTTTAAAAAAATAAAATAAAACTGGGAAAGTTTTTGGCAAAATTGGTCACCCATCTAAGTACACATAGTCCATCCTTACCCTTTCATAGGTTCAAATTTGGGCCAAGTCAGTTGGGCTCCAAAGCCCATGCACTCTCTCCCAGGACTCCTGCTTTTCCCAAACTAACCTCCTCCTGAAGCCTCAGAAGCCCCATTATTTTCCTCACCCTCAGGATTCTGCGCCTAACCTAATTCTGATGAAAAAGATTTAGTCTTTTCTTATTCTGTCTTTTCCTCTGTAGTATATATAGATCTTTCTTAACTCCCTAATAAAGACTACCCAAAAGACCACCACAGGCAGCCTGAATGGAATGATAAAAGATTAAAATAAAAACTAAAAGGCAAAAGGGCCTATAGACGGCTGATTTCTTTTCAACCCCATTTTTCCTTTACATCATTAGCATTTAAACCCCTCTGGGGAGGGGGGTGGTGGTGAAGGGCAGCGGTTGGAGAACTAAAAAATAAATTGTTCTTGCCTCAAGGATGTGAAAGAGGAATGAAAAGATGAGTCTGCTTCCCCCACCCCACACGGGACTGAGGTAAAGATGTACATACTAATTTAAGCAAAAAAGTAAATAGTATAAGGAAGGCACAGCTTTTTCCTGGGGTCTGCATGTTTTAAAGGGTGGTATTAGCCAGTGGCTGCAGACTTAGTGGTGGTCGGGAATGAAGAAGCGTATACCAGCAGAAGGTCTCAGCCCTGTCACTGATCCTCATTTTCCAATGTACCCATTCCAATCCCTCAGAACCCTTATCTTGGCCTTGGGCCTACTCCCTTCTCCACTGTAACTGCCTCCCTAGTCTCCAGAGCCACCAATAAGAATTAAGAATTGGGAGAGGGTGGTACTAAGAATGTGTTTTCCGGCAAACCAAGTAGGAACTATTGTGTATAGAATGGTTCTGCAGGAAAATAGACTTTTCTCAACAACTCAATGTCAGATTGAAACTTCTGAAGCACACTGCACGCAAGAGAACACCTAATTACTTCCTCAAAGGCAATAAGGCTTTACTTCCACCATATCTGAGACAGTGCTCAGACAACTGTTTAATATACAATATTTATTAAATGTTTTCCATGCCTGAGAAATTTCACTGTTTTTCCTTCAGCCTTACTTCCCTGACTCCCAACACATGAGACCCTGCCAACGAGTCAACGGATACCTTCTATACTCTTTGCTACTCAAAGTGTGATTCACGGACTAGTTGCATCTGCATCACCGGCGGCTTTACAAATCAGAATCTGCATTAAAAAAAAAAAACAAAAACCAAGTTGGCCGGGTAAATCGCGGGACATTAAAGTTTGTGAAGCACTGCCTTCTAAGTTTATATATATAAATCCTTCCGAGCCCCAGCTCCAATCTCTACATCAGCTTGAGAAAAGACGGCATGCACACGTTGCACAGGGCCAGCATCAACCCACGGTGGGGTCGGGACCTGTCACCCCAAGGCATCCTTCCTCCCTGACACTGCCCCCTCCGCTCACCTTGATGCGCTCCCCATCTATCTCCACCGCACGTTCTCGGAAATCCACCCCGATGGTAGCCTCGGTGCGGTCGGGGAAACGGCCGGCGCAGAAGCGGTAGGTCAGGCACGTCTTGCCCACATTGGAGTCACCGATCACGATTATCTTGAAGATACGGGAGCGAGCCGGAGGCAGGAACACTGAACCCCCTGACACTGCACCGCTGGACGAGAAGCTCGCCTCCAGAGACGACTCCATCTCCGAAGCCATTCTCCGGACCCGCCCCAAACTGAGGCGGAGGAAAGGAGACGCAGAAAGATAGAGAGAATACGCCACCTCTAGCGAGGGCGCCCAGTGTGCGGGCTCGAAGCGTAACGTCCCAGGAGCCACCGCCCTCCGGCCCCGCAGCGCGCGTGCGCACCTTCCCGCCCCCACGTCGCGCAGGTGTGGCGTCCAGCGGCCCCGTCTCGCTGCTCCTCCCACCTACCCCATGGCTCCGCCCCGCCGTCTCTCCCCTCGGCCCGGGTCTACCTGGAAAGGCTTGACGGCCGGGGGCCCTGCCGGGGGCTTGACGGCGCGTGCGGAGAGCCGACCTGAAGACGGCCCGGCAGAGCGCCCTAGGCCCGGCACCCAGACCGGACCGGGCTCGCCTCGTCCAAGACTCACGTCCTCCGGAGGAAGCCGCGCAATCACTCTGGGGGCGGGGAGAGAAAGACAGCTGAAAGGAAGGAGGTACCACCAGGCCTCTCTCGCGAGAGGGCCGAAGAGCCGCCTTAAACGGGGGCGTGTGCCTGGTGAGGAGTCGAAAGGTCTTCGGAAGGCTGGGATGTGGGGTTCGGCGCTGTTGTTGACGTTGTTGGGGGTTCCTCGGACTTGCAGGTGGAAGCGGGTTCTCTCGGCTTGCAGCGGGGGAGGGGGCGCGGAATCGGCTGTGCCGCCTGCCCCCTCGGGGCTCCCTGGACCCCGGGACTTGGGACGGTAGCAACGAGGACTGTAGGGGGTGGGGCGTGAGGTGCCGCCGGAAGGCCCGGGACGCGGGTGGAGGCGAGCCCCGGGCCTAGCGGAGTTGTCAGTGAGGCCGTGGGGAGATCGAGGCCGCCGCCGCCGTGGCACGGAGATTTCCTCACCCCCTAGGCCATGTGAGGGTATCCGCGGGACTCTGGTGCCCAGGGCTCGTTTTGCGGATGCCCCAGGCCCAAGAAGTAGAGCAGATCATTGGTGGGACACTTAGGGGCATTGAACCGGGAGTTTCCAGACGGACTCTCTATGAGAATAAAACCCATTATGCCCTAGTTATGTCTTAATGCCTGGGTGATGATGATGTGGCCGCTCAGTATTCCTGAGCGCACGCAGTTGTTGTCTTGGCCCACTAAGAAAAACATTAACAGACGAGACCACCCAACCGGAAAGAATCTTCTCTGGAATTCGTCAGATGAAACCTCCCGAACAGTAACTCAAAAGGTCCAAAATGTGCGAACTTTGTTTTTTTGTGAAAAGTTGTTTTGTTTTGCAGTGACAAGACTCCCCCTCGCCCCGCCTTGAGCAAATGCTTATGCCGCTTGTAAAGTCAAGGCCTATGGAGAGGAGGACATGGTAGGCTTTAGAGTAAAGGGAAGAGTACTAGGCCTAGTACACTAAAAGTTCTAGGAAAGGAGATAAATTGCTTATTCCATTAGGTAAAATGAAAATGTAGTCATCGGAAATTAGTGGAAGAACCCGAGGCTATCCAGAATTACTAGGAATTTGCGATAGCCCTAATATATAGTAACTTCTTTTGTTGTAGAAAAACTATACAGTCACTAATACAGCAAGTTATGTTAGCCAGGAAAAAAAAATTTACTCACCTGGTTGAATGTGTATGCCAATTACATTTATTTAGTATCCTGTTAGGGAAACTAAAACACGGGCTGGAAAATTCTGTTTATCTGTGAGGTTATTTCTGTGAGGATTGATCATCCCAGACACTATTAAAAGGCCTTGAAATATATTCCTCTAATTTACTCTACCTGTAAAGTACCCATTCAAAGAAGCTGAAGATTTAGGACAAAAACCAGTTGAAGAATTCAGAGCTCTGGATAATTAGATAATTGCAAAGGATGAGTAAAAAAAAGCATTAGCATCCTTGCATCCTAAGGCCCTTTTTCTTTTGTATTGTAGCTTTTTCAGATTAGCTCTTACTAAACGTATTAGAAATTTTTTTTGTCTGTTTATCCAAATCCTATTCTTACTTCAAAAGTTTCACCTCTGTGAAGCTTTTCCTGATGACTTCAGTTCAGAATGTTCTTTGTTTTTTGGGGTATTGCTTATTTGGTCTTTGAATACTGTCTTCACTGTTTAAGTTTCATAATTATATGTTGTGTCTTACCAGCCAGATTGTCAGCTCTTGAGTACTGACGGAAAGCTCATTGCTTTTCAGCAAGTGATGAATAAATTAATCAAGTGAGAAAATTTTTTGCATAAAGTTTGTCAGTTTGAACCCTTTACTAATTATACACATTTCAGCACTACTTAAAGAGAAGAAATACTATAAACACTTGAAACCGTTATGAAGCATTTTATATTTTCAGTTTGAAGTTTGAGAGACTCTGTGTGACTGAAGTATGTCACTCTTCTTAACTGAATAATCCCAGAACCTCCAGGTTGATACTTGGAGATTCTGCTATTTGAAGAGTGGATGGATTATGAAGCCTTGTTTTCTGAAAATTCATTTTGTCCTTGGAATTTTTCTCTATTTGCTGGCAGTACCACTTGACCTCAAAGTATCATCAGCATGTAACTTTTTCTTAACACTTTGCAATATAGCTGAGAAGAGACTAAATTTGAACTTATAGCAATACAACTTAAAACTGGAACATTATAGGGGCACCTGGGTGGCTCAGTGGGCTAAGCCTCTGCCTTTGGTTCAGGTCATGATCTCAGGGTCCTGGGATAGAGCTCTGCATCAGGTTCTCTGCTCAGCGGGGAGCCTACTCCCCACCCCACCCCCCCACCCCCCCGCCTCTCTGCCTACTTGTGATCTCTGTCAAATAAATAAATAAAATCTTTTAAAAAACTAACATTATAAATGGTTTAGGGTACTTATTTAGGTTTATAAATTTATAATTTAGGGTACTTATTTAGATGTATGTTTAAAAATACTTTTCGGGACGCCTGGGTGGCTCAGTGGGTTAAAGCCTCTGCCTTCGGCTCAGGTCATGATCCCAGGGTTCTGGGATGGATTCCCGAGTCGGCCTCTCTGCTCAGCAGGGAGCCTGCTTCCTCATTCCTCTCTTTCGGCCTCTCTGCCTACTTGTGATCTCTGTCAAATAAATAAATAAATAATCTTTTTAAAAAATAAATAAAAATACTTTTCTAATGGAAAAAAGTGAATGAATATTAGAACCACAAAATAAGGGTAATCTTATGTACAAAGTATAATTACTTATTTTCAGCTTTTTCTGCAGAGATGCTGCTTCCCCGTGGCAGAGGCCATTTTTAAACTGATCTTACCATGGAATAGCTCCTAGGCAATTTCACTCTTATGTTCAGGACTGAGCACAGAGGATAAAGGAGAGTTCTCTTGCTTGCCCAGGTAACGGTTTCTCAGTTTCTGCCCTAAGGACATTTTGAGCCAGTAATTCTTTGTTGTGGGAAGCTGATCTGAGTATTGTAGGATGTTCAGCAGCATTGCTGGCTACCACCAAATATATGCCAGTACTATTCCACTCCAAGTTGTAATAACCTAAACCCTCTGTAGACATTACCAAATGCCCCTGAGGGGCAAATCTGTGGCCCCTCCCTGCTGTCACTGAAAACCACCGGCCTATATAGGGACTCTTCTCACAATTCTGGTTAGCTGTCCATCCCAGTTGATAGTAGGAGTCACTAAGAGAGAACTCAATTCCCCAGAGAAGTATAGAATTGGTCTTATGGGTCTCCACAAGATTAACATACCACTGTGTTTAATAGTAACCCCAAATATAAAATAGATACTGCAGGGGCGCCTGGGTGGCTCAGTGGGTTAAGCATCTGCCTTTGGCTCAGGTCATCATCTTGGGGTCCTGGATCAAGCCCGGCATTTGGCGCTCTACTCGGCGGGAAGCCTGCTTCCCCAACCTTCTGCCTGCCTCTCTGCCTACTTATGAACTCTCTCTGTCAAATAAATAAAATCCTTTAAAAAAAAAAAAAGATACTACAGTATAAATAGCAGAGTTTCATTTTAGTACCTAAACAGTAAATTACTACTACCATTTTATAGGTTAGCTTACTGAGTTTTAGAATTAAATCCAGAAAAATAAAACAGGTCAAAAGGGAAAGAGCTGGTTCTTTGAAATGATCAATAAAATATGGCAAAACAAAAATAGCAAAGATTTTTAAATCAGAAGATGTGAAGAATGAAAAAGGAGTTAGATTCAGAGGGATTTTTTTTTTTTTTTTTAAATAAGCTCTACACCCAGTGTGGGGCTTGAACTCAAAACTGACAAATCAAGAGTCACATGCTCTACTGACTGAGCCAGCCAGACACCTCTAAAGTGAATTTTATTTTTACCTTTTTTTTAAAGATTTATTTATTAGAGCACATGCACGAGCACAAGCAAGGGGAGGTGGAGGGACAGAGGGAGAAGCAGACTCCCAGCTGAGCAGGGAGCTCAACATAATCCCAAGACCCTGGGGACAATGTCCAGAGCTGAGGGCAGATGCTTAACTACCTACGCTACCCAGACACCCCAGGAATTTTAAATATAAGAGAATACTATGTATAACTCCGTATTCATAAAAATATTTTATTGAGCACCTACCACATAAAAAACAGGCACTATATGAGTTGCTAAAGATACTGTGGTTAACAGACCCAATTTGTGAAACCTGTTTAACAGAATACCAGAGAAAAAAGGGGTTGGCACCTCTAACCCCTGCATTGTTTAGGCTTCCACTGTATATTTTATATTACGTGTGTTGTAGTACGATATTACTTGAAGGTAAACTGTGATAAGTTAAAGATTCATATGGTAAAACTTAGAACAGCTACAGTAAAACACAGAAGCAGCCAACAGAGAAATTAAAATGAAATACTACGAATTAATCCAAAAGAAGACAAGAAGAAAAAGATGTAGATTGAACAAGTAGAAAATGATATATCAAAAACTAAATTAATTGTAAATGGTCTAAACACTGCAATTAAAAGGAAGACATGCCTCCCTAAATAAAAGCAAGGCCTAATTATGTACTAATGCTTACCAAAAAAAAAAGTCATCATCAACATAAAGACACAGACAATTTCAAAGTAAAATGATGGAAAAAGATAAGCAAACAGAATAAAGCTGGAATATCTAATATCTGACAAAGTAGACTTCAGGAAAAGGAATTTGGCCTATCTTTAGGAAGAGATAAAAAGGGGCATTTCATAATATAAAAAGATCAATTCATCAAGAAGAGAGAGCAAGAAAGCTTAAAATACATGAAGTAAAAACTGATAGAAAAGGGAAATAGACAAATCCAAAATTATAGCTAAGATTTCAATGTTTCCTTCTTGGTATTTGATAAACAAGTAGATGTTTAAAATCTGTAATGATA